TTACTTTATGAGGTTCAAAAAATAAAATAAAATAAATAAATGAATAAATAATAATAATTTTATTATTGAAAAATTAATAGATGCAAAAACAGTATATTCTTTTCAGTCTGTAACCTGAAATAGTCATGGTTTTGGAAGAAATCTCTCTCCATTTGTGCTGCCTCCTCCAGAGGAATGTCATCATCAATCTGCTGTTGTCCTCTACACTTCACCATGATGTAACCTTTGCGGAGAGGAACCACTTCATTGTGGACAATAGCCAGAACACTCTTCTCTGTTCCCTTGTCTATGAGGTCTGGCTTGGTCAAAATGGCTGTGAGAATGAAAAATTGTTATTTTACAAAAAGTCCATTTGCTGACAGACATGCTGTAAGATATTTGGTGAGATATTAGATGTTGTGCAGATCATCTGCTTCATTACCCAGAGTTCTTTTGCCCTCAGGATCTACTTCTTGTGCCAATTTTAAGGCTTCTGCTGTTGCAATGTCAGTGTTACAAGGGACCACAACCAGGTTTATAGTCTCACGTTTGTTAATATATTTCATGATCAGACGTTTTATCTACAATACATAGACACAGTTTTAAAACTGGATTGTTATTAGCTTGATAGTAAATATGAAGTGCAAGATCAGATTATATGACCCACCTGTTTTCCAATACCCTCTGGTTGTCCGTTTACTGGCACTCGGGTGATTCCAGGTAGATCGATCAGTGTGAGGTCACACATATCTGGTGACATGATCTCTAATGTGATGAGCTCATCACATATTCCTACCCCTTTTCCTGCCAGCTCATTCTGGGCTGTAAAACAACTACCGGTATGTTCATTAGAAAAAAATAATATGCCCTTTAAATCAGTGATAATAAAGACAGATTCATCTTAGAGTCTGAAGCTTCTCTTTGGCACATTTCATTGACATAAATAGCTTAGATTAAGTTTGAACCATTCAGTCAATTCAGAAATGCTGTCAATCAACTGCCAAGAAAGCAGAAACAGTAAGAAAACCAGCGAGTTAACCAGGAGTTAATAAATTAGATGTAAATTATGTAATTCAAATGAAGACTATTTCAAATATTTTAAAAATATGTAATTGTCTATCTTTTTTGTCTTCAAGTACGCAGTTGTACTTTAGAAACAGTAGGCTAAATGTCAGAGACAAACATTTTAATTAAATGTTTATTACATTCAGTACTCAAAAGGATAGATAATAATAGTTTGACACAGTAAATACAAAGTTCTGGCATGAAAATCTAACTCAATATGACATAAATTACATCATCACATGTCACAGCTGATTGGTTCTCTGCTGTATTGGTAGCCTATGAGCTCGCTGCTCAACATTTAAATATTTGGCTAATGCTTGTGGTAGTAGTTGCAGCGTGCTTTGGAAACATCTGAAATCAACATCTAAGATAAGTGAATGCTCTTTTTAATCTATGAAAAAAATGAGCGACCACAAACAAGTTTAAACTAAGTGTCTTGTTAGCAGTTTGCTTTATAAGCAGGAGCGAATATTAAGCATATTAACAGCAGCATTTAGCGTCTGTTTATACAGCTGGAGCAAACACAGTCTAGAGATGGCATCCTCAAATCTGGCCCACGAGATCCACTTTCCTGCAGAGTTTAGCGCTAACCCTAATCAAACACACCTGAGCATGCTAATCAATATAGAATCGCTGTTCTGACTCACGGACTGCACATTTTAGAGTGGCCTTTTATTGTGGCCAACCTAAGGCACACCTGTGCAATAATCATGCTGTCTAATCAGCATCTTGATATGCCACATCTGTGAGGTGGATGGAGTATCTCTGCAAAGGAGAAGTGCTCACTAACACAGATTTAGACAGATTTGTGGACAATATTTGAGAGAAATAGGCCTTTTGTGTACATAGAAAAAGTCTTAGATCTTTGAGTTCAGCTCATGAAAAATGGGGGCAAAAACAAAAGTGTTGCGTTTATAATTTTGTTCAATGTATGTAATAAAATGTGGGTAACGCTTTAGATTACAACCCGTAAAGAACTACGTAAGTATACTGAATTTACGGTGTACGTTTATGTAATTATAGTGTACCTATAAAGAACATACGTGTAGGTATAAGGCAACAATGTGTTAAGTTTGGGTAATAAAGGGGGTAGCAACCAGATACAGAGGGTAAAATAAGTATTGAACACATCAACATTTTTCTCAGTAAGTATATTTCTAAAGGTGCTGTTGACATGAAATTTTCACCAGGGGGCTGTTTCATAAAACTGGTTTACCATCTGTCTCATCTGACCAGACTATATTCTCCCAGTATTTCACAGGCTTGTCTAAATGTTGTGCAGCAAACTTTAAACGAGCTTCAACATGCTTTTTCTTCAGCAATAGAGCCTTGCGTGGTGAACATGCATACAGGCCATGGCGGTTGAGTGCATTACTTACTTATTGTACTTATTTTATTTGAAACAATTGTACAAGCTAATTCCAGTTCTTTCTGAAGCTCTCCACAAGTGATTCTTGGCTCTTGGACAACTCTTCTTATAATTATTTTCACTCCTCTGTCAGAAATCTTGTGAGGAGCACCTGGTCGTGGCCGGTTTATGGTGAAATTCTGTTCTTTCCACTTCCGCTGTGTCATTCTACTTTATTACACAGAACTTAATTTCTGAAATTATTTATTTTGCTTTCTTTGTATGTATGGATTACTGGGATTGTTACCGACATCTGGTGAAAATTTCATGTCAACAGCACCTTTAGAAATATATTTACTGAGAAAAATGGTGATGTGTTCAATAATAATTTTACCCGCTGTATAGCCTATACAAATTATTTATAATGGAATTATTTTAAAACTTAACAGGTACCTATTCGGTAACGCTTTAGATTACAGCCCGCAATTTACAGCGTAACTTTTTTTTGTAATTTTAGTGTATCTATTCAGTACCTCCGTGTAGGTAAAGGGGAATAATATGCGACGTTTGGGGAATAAAGGGGTAACAACCTGTAAAATTACAAATCATTTATACTGTGAGCATTCTGAAACTAAGGGATACCTATTCTAATATTACGTGGTATGTATGGCCTAAACAACAATCTTATGTTTGGGAGTGATTTAGAAAAACGATATACTTTTTGTAATTTTATATTGGTATTTTATTATAGGCCTAGGTATTTTTTAGCCATGGGGTATTATTAAAGGATAGGCTACATGATGGAGATGACTGAACAACAAAACTGGACATCTAGTGAAATTAGTTAATTGAAAGTGAAATGAGTTTCTGCTATGATTTATAATTCACGAGTCTACTTACCTTATGAAAGCTTATTCGTTGATCTCAGCTGAGTCACACCAGCAACTTCCCAACACCACTATCACCAAATAACTTTTTTGCATGATATACCAAGGTTCAATGCAGCTTAAAACAAGCTTACCTCTTTCCAGCTGTTCACAGAAAAAAAAAAACATGATACAACATTTGTATTTCAGTGGATGTATAGGCCTACTGTGATGGTTTTTATAGCCAAAATAAAAAGTAGAGGGTTTAAATTGGCAATCAAACAATTAAATTAAAACTAGTGCAATATTTTCTCTGTAATTACTGTGCAAATATACACTTGTTCTGTGCTTAAGTCCAACTTGTTCCTGCCTTGCTCCATGTAGTTACAGGGTAAATACAACCGTTGCGGGCTGTAATTTAAAGTGGTGCTTGTTCCCCCCTTATTCCACGTAGTTACAGGGTAAGTGGCTACAACAAATTGCTCTAAAACGATTGTTGTTTATACAGTAGGTCATACATACATACGTTATCAGGTAATATATCAATAAACATGGTGGACTGTTTTAATTCAAATATTGTTTGAAATTTACTATAGGCCTACTGCCAGGTTAAATGAACTCAAAATGTTTTTTTTTTTCATTTAAAATCACACACAGTATGACAACAGTAACAACACAGGCAACAGATAATAAAAGATTAAAAATTATTACACTTGTTCAGAAACACTCACGTTTGAGCTAATTATGTGCTGTATGTAATTTGATCAATGTTTATATGTGAATAAATGCCTAAATTAAAATCTGTTTAACATATAAAGCAGCCGATCGTGTCTTGTAGAAGACTTTTGTGTATCATTTAAGGTGACATTTTCCAAACCTTATGTTATACTTAGGAAAATGACAGTTAAGGGGCTTTATGCAACAGTTAATGGGTTTTAAGGGATACTTAAATTCTAAGGGTTCACGACGTTTCACCTAAAGAAACCCTTAAGTAACGTTTAAGGAATATTTTATGCAATGCCCTTAAGTGTAAGGGAAACTTAAGGGCGCTCTTAAGGGAAAATTACACTTAGGTGCTTTATGCAACCGGGCACTTACTTTATCAAGGCCTGTTAGAACATGTAATTTACAAACTATCGTTGTGCTGTCAACAAGTTCCCATGAAGAGTCTGTCATTCAAACTCCATATTTTCACTGTACCATTTTGAATTCTGGTAAAAACATACTCTTTCAATCTTGTCCTAAAGCATTCACTGAATCTTCGCCAATTCTTCAGATGATACAGGCCAAAATTGTCAAAAACTTTTGGATTGACAGAAGGACAAAAACATAATGCAAAATATGTTGCCAACACATTTTTCATATTTTAAAACATTGAAACTTAAACATTTGACATTAACAAATAATATTATCTCCATTATCAGTGACTGTCACTTATGACTATTTGTATTGATAAAGCTTTGCTGGTGCTGCTGGTCTTGCTGGTTTTCTGTCAACTCATTATCTTAGATCTGTTCCTTTGTGTTGAACAAACAGACCCCATCTCCAAACAGAGAGTTGTTTACAGATGATATCTTCTCATACTTAATAAAATATCAATTTTGTGATTATTTATCTACAGTATCAAGTTTACAGTTTGTGTACAATATGTGTATCATCCTCGTGACTTAAACACACTTGACATTACGTCAAGTATAAAAGCAGGGCTCTTTCTGGAGCTTCATGGAATCTTTACTGAATGTCCGAAGGCAACGATCTGAAAACCAAGGTGAGTTTTTGGCACATCGACCTGCTGAATAACAATTCATACTTAAATTATCTTAGTGTTTTTTTATATTAACATTGAGAATCCACAGTGAGCAGTGCTTATTAATTTTCAGGTTCATTATGGCAGTGCTGAGACGTCTTCTGCTTCTTTTCACTATTTATTTAATGATTAATGCAGAAGGTAACCAATACATCTATTTACCATTGTAAAAAAACTTTTTTTATTCCAGATTTAAATATTTGAAGTCATTCTGTGTTGTGCCAAATCTTTGAGAGGCTTCATTACAAAGGGGTGGACGGGAAATGTACAATATGATTGAACTGAATTTTGTCATGAATACTGAGGTTTCTGCTGTGTGTGAAGACTATATACTGTGTTTATTAAAAGAACCCTAAAGTTTATGTATTGTTTAGATGAAAAATGCCCCAATGGATGGACACATTTTGGAGTGAAATGCTACAAGTACTTCTCTGAGCCATTTAACTGGATCACTGCGGAGGTAATGTGTTGTAAGACTGCAAGAAATTTCTATTTATTTATTTAGTTAGTTAGCTAAAACATAATTTTCTGCAAATAAATATGACAAAGCAAATAATCAACCAGACCTTTGTTTTAAACGAATACATAAATTGATTGTGGATTGACAATGTAAAATCTGTCTCTTTAGAGATTCTGTCAAACTTATGATGCAAATCTTGCATCTGTGCATAATAAATTGGACAATGATCATCTGCTGAGCCTGGTGCCTTCTTACACACGTCTTTGGGTTGGCGCTCAGGATGGTGAACAAGTAAGTTGCTCTGCCTTTTTTGAAAAAGATGACTTTTGTAGCATGGCCTAAAGGGATAAACGTGAGGAAAAGGATTGTTTGACTTAAAAGCTAAACTAATTACCTTCTTTTTGTAGTCCTTCAGTACTTTGTAATGACTCTCTTCACTCATTAGGAAGGACAGTGGATTTGGAGTGATGGAAGTCCCTTTAATTACACCAGCTGGTGCTCTGGAGAACCCAACAATGCAGGAGATACAGAGAACTGCCTGGAGCTGGCCTATAGCTGTAAGAATGCACTGGTTTTATTAATACTTTCAATAATTATTTATCCTATATTGTCATATCATATTGTAACATAAAATGGTTTGAACATAATATTTTATTTTGACTCTCACACCACTATAATGATCAGAATAAATTAATTTTTTCCACCCTGCAGCTAACCATTGCTGGAACGATCTGACATGTTCATCACTTCTTGCCTTTGCTTGTGCAAAAAAGATGCAAGATCACATGCAGTCGTCCTACTCCATAGTTACGTGATTGTACATACAGGCATTAATGGGCCATATGGCATTATGGCATTAATGGGCCATAATTTTCATGGTAAGAATATATAAGAACTATCCCTTTAAACTTGTATCTTTTATTCAATCTTGAATCCTTTCTCAATGCCTTCTCTAAAACATTAATTGAATCAATAAAAGCATTGATAAAGCATCTTGTGTGTTGTGGAGTTTCCTCAAAATCATGTATGAAAATAATAAGTACATTGCGCACCAAGAATTGTGAATATTAGAATGCCATTGAATGATGTCATCATCAGGCTTACTATACAAATATGCTGGTGCCGACGAAAATACATTATGAACCGTTGCAAAGCTTAAAAAACTATATAAATATAGCCTACAAAAGACTAAAGAAGTCGTTAGCTTTTAAAGCCTTTTTTCAAACTCTGAGAGATCACAAATTTTTCTCACATAAGTGTTTTCATTTATATAAGGTTTTTTTTACTATGTTGATACAAAAGATCAATAAGTACAGTATCTCACAATTTTAATGAAATTATGAGGCACAGATAAAGGACGATTGGTTATATAATATACAATGAATTACATTGGCAATTTCAAGTAGGATCAGTGTTACAAACCAGATTGTGACAACAAAGTGAATTAAACACTACTGTATTAAATATTTGAACAACAAGATTTAAATAAATTTTTAAGGTGAATACTAGATGTTTATTGTTATGGTATTCTGTCCTTTTGCGCCTCCTCATTTTCATTTGCACTTTTTGTTGCGTCTTTTGGTCGCCAGAGGGCGCTTGTGTTGTGTTGTGTTTTTCCTTTGTCTGTTTGCAGGGTGGAGACAAGCGGCAGGGTGCGGTGGGTTGACTGATTAAAGGGGTGATATGACGTTGCTAAAAATAACATTATGTTGTGTATTTGGTGTAATGCAATGTGTTTATGCGGTTTAAGGTTAAAAAAACACATTATTTTCCACATAATGTACATTATTGTTGCTCCTCTATGCCCCGCCTTTCTGAAACGCGTCGATTTTTACAAAGCTCATCGGTCTGAAAAGCGAGATGTGCTCTGATTGGCCAGCTATTAGGGATGGGGGAAAAAATCGATACAGCATAGTATCGCGATATTTTCCGCGGCAATACTGTATCGATACACGGACGCCAAGTATCGATCTTTTATTATACTATTTGGTAGAATAATAAAATAAATGTCTTTACAATCCACTAGATGGTGGTGTTGAGTTTTTTTCTGGTGAGGTCAGCTGGGTCACCTTCAGCATGCAGTAAGTTAGTAAAATAAAGAGGGCGGCATCATGGAAAGTTATCAGGGAAGCCCCGTCCGCATTTAAATCGGATGTATGGACTTACTTCGGATTTGTAAACAAGGAGGGGATGTAAGTAGGGATGCACCGAAAATATAGGCTACATATAATAA